CACCCTCAAAGAGATCCCCTAAATGAAACAGTACACCATAATTTTCCTAGGGAATTACCAGTAAGCTATTCTCTAGGCTTGAAGTTCAGCAGTGGGTGTTTGTGTTAATGTAAACATGTAATTTATAATTTTGTTCATCCAAGTTCAGCAGTGGGTGTTTGTGTTAATGTAAACATGTAATTAATAATTTTGATCATCCAAACATAAGCGTTTCATGAAGTCACTATAAAGTTTGTTGGATGTTGTATTATTACCGACTATAATAAAGCCTCTAATACATTGACTTAATGGCTACCTCTGCATCAGTGTAAAAGGAGATTCTCACTTAGTAACACATTAACTTAGTTGCTACATTTGAGCTGGTATAAGGGGAAATCCTCAGAAAGCTGGTAACACAGTGACTCCTTTCTATCTAAAATAGGAATTTTGGAGACTGCTCTCTGTTATTTGTGCAAAACAGACAAAGAAACATTAATCCATCTTTTCTGGGAATGCTCAGTAACGAAAACCTTTTGGGGAAGGGTTCATTGTTTTTTCGTTTCATTTCATTTGATATCAGCCTCACACATTTTGGATATCTATGAGTGTTTAGGTTTTAGTAGGAGAGAAAGATGATATTTTAGTAAACCATTTTTTGCTCCTCACAAGGTATTATATTTATTGCTGTAAATTTAAAAACATATCTCCATATATCAGAGAATATGCACAACAGCTGAAATATAATTTAGAAATTGAAAAACAAATATCTATTGTGACTGATTCACAGAATAAATTTCAACAGAAGTGAGACAAAATACCTTGTGCACTTTGATTGCTATATAGTTTGCAGGCAGGCTACAAATGTGAGTAAGATATTATCTTACTCTCCTTATGCTGATTTTAAGCCTCTGAAAATCAATTTTTGCTAAACACCGTACTTTTGGGTTTTTTTTTTCAAGCTCTAACTCTTATCAATCTCACCCACAATTTAGCCTTTCTGTCTTTCATAGCTGTTAATTTTTTGTGAGTAAGTTTCTATTTTTTTTGTGTGTAAATGATGTGCCTCTAAATGTGTGTGCATTATCTTAAGAATACTGTAAGTAGTGTAACACAATGTATGTAGGGAGTCCTGTGAAAGGAACCTTAATGTAGTTAATATGAGTATCATGTTGTAAAAAAAAAAAAAAAAAAAAAAAGTAACACAGTGACTTAAAGGCTACTTTTGCGTCTATATAAAGGAGAATTTGTAAGATAGCCAGGAACACAATGACACAACAGCTATATTAATCAACCACAATGATGGGTCCACAATCTGCACTGAAATACTCATGAGGTAAAAGAATGACCATAGAAACTGTTTGGTGCCATAGAATTTTAAAAAAAAAATGGGTTTTCATTATTCTTTATTTTGAGCCACTATAATGTTGATACTGTGGTTAACTGAGAACATGTCCTGTATACATGCATGTAGATTTATGTTGTTGCTGCTATGGCTAAAGAAGATGTTCCTGAATGTTTATCATATTTGAGTTGTTGTAATAGTCAGAACTGACTTACATGTACTTGCCATCAGGATGACGCAGTATAAAATGAAGCCCAGCAACACCCCAGATCAGTTTTTACGTAGAAAAAGAATGTTGGAGGAGCAGAAAAGGTATGTTATGTCTCTATGGAAAATGACCGAAATCATACACTATACATGCTGTGATAGTAAAGTTATGCTTTTCTTTAATCAACTATCTTTTCATGCATCTTCACATCATTGCCAAGTAATCAGTTGATGTGGGAAAATGTTATTGGTAATGTAGTGTATTGTACTATATTTTCAACTGTATGTGATTTTGTACTGTCTATTCTCAGACACAGGCGAGATTATGTCAACTATGCAAGAAAACTGGTGGAAGGATCTTTAGAAATTGAAGATGTTGAGATAGAGGTTTAAACATTCTTTGAATTAAACGTTTGAACGTGTCCTTTAGTAGCATGTCGTAATGATGTGGGATATTGATCAAATGAAGCCTTTAAGTGCTACTGTGGTTCTTTCTTTATTCACTCCGAGCTTTCGCCGTTCTACGGCATCATCAGGGATCATGATGCCGTAGAACGGCGAAAGCTCGGAGTGAATAAAGAAAGAACCATAGTAGCACTTAAAGGCTTCATTTGATAAATATCCCACATTCTTTGAATTGTTATTCATCTCAGTCTTATCCATTTCTTTGTCATTTCTTTTATTGATTATTTTATCTGCCATTCACTGTAAGTTTTGGAAATGGTTGCACACTGTAGGAGATGGAGTTTATTGAGGAGAGTGACAAGAATGGCAGGAGAAGGCATAAAAAGAAGTTTAATCCTTATGCATATCAGGTGTGGGTACTACACTTAAAACTGTTAACATCTCAAGTTAAGATCTCTTTAAAAGTATGATACACTTTACCTTTCTCCTATTATGATTTAAATTTTTCAACTCTTTGAAAACTTCTAATTTTGCTCAGAAACCAAAAGTGATTCAGTTTCAGACCATTCTAAATATGTTTTTTATATCTTGCTCATAGTGAAGTTAAAGAAAGTCATTCATTATCTCTTTCCTTTATCAGCTTAATTATTTTTTACTACATGGTATAGTTTAGGATCAATTTTTTTGCACAGTAAATTGATTTCTTTCTTTTCCTTCCTTTTTTTCTCCTTTTTGTTAGTTGATGTTATCAGAGTGGCTTGTTGATATTCCTGATGATTTGAAGGAGGACTGGTTGATGGTGATTTGTCCAGTGGGCAAAAGAAACCTTGTTATTGCTGCAAATGTAAGTTAACGCTTTGACACCCAAGATCTCATTAGTAATTCTCCTTACTGTATGCCATACAATTCTTATGATACTAGCTCTGAGAATTTGGCACTGGATCTAGAAAATCCTCAAACTTATATTTTTCTTTATTCTTATAACCTGTCTGATTGATGTTGTATTGATATTGTAAGGAGAAATTCTGTCTTGGTCACACATGGGAGTTAAAAGGTTAAATTAAAATGAACAACTTAAAGTAGCTTTCATGTGGCTTTCTTCACCACATGCTTCAAAACATTAGCTCTTCTACATGGTGTGAGTTGTACCTATTAAAGATTTGAGGTCCACTGTAGCTCACAATTTTCAGTTCACAAATGATTTTGGGGAGTTGAAATCTGTTAAAAAAAAATGCCTACCATCTCATAAGAAATACTACTGTGTGTAACTTTGTTATGTGACCTGTAATAGTTTAATTTTCCATATATTGTAAACAATACAGGGATATACTGCCGCATACACTAAAAGTGGCTACAGAGTGAATAAGTTTTCCTCGTTGCTGCCAGGCGGAAGTCCAAAAACTCTCAAACCTGGAGGTACAAAAGCCATTATTCAAGTTATGAGAACAATGGTACAGTAAATAATCTGGATTAACTCTTTAACTCCCAGAAGTGATTAACATAAAACTTCTCCCAACAATATCCATACATTCTTCAACAAACAAGTAATGAGAATAATCAAACTTGTCAAGTAGAAGCTGCTATCTTGATCTAGCACCAAGGTCTCATTACTAATTTACAAGGAAATGTGTAGCAGCTACAGGGGAGAATTAACAATCAGATCTTGGGAGTTGAAGGGTTAATATATCAATAGCTGTCACAACTTTTTTGCTTTTTGGGCATCAAGTATGGTGAACTTCCCTTGCTCAATGTACTTGCTATTTGCTTTTAAGTTCTCTTTTGAGATGGAGGTGTCAAGGCCATAACTTTCACAGTTTAATTTTCTTTTCCTTTTGTTTTCTGGCTTTATAGTCTCTTCAACCAGGAATTCGTTGAATCTCAAATAATTTAGAGCTTGTATTAGTATATATTAAGTATATGAGGTAATTGTATAGACTGGGTATGCTAATCAGAAACCTAGAACTACATACATGTACATATATTTCTACACTTGGAAATTATCTTTTTTATACATAGATTACACCATCTTGGACTGTATCTTCAATGAACTCACAAACACATTCCATGTGTTGGATGTTATGACCTGGAGAGGTCATCCTGTGTATGACAGTGAGGTACAGTACATGTAGCTCTGCATTACTACTGATAAGGCTCATTATTTTTTACAGTCACCATTTGCAGTTCATTATAATGTGATCTCTGATTTGTAAGCTGTTGGCAACCTATCATGAAATGCATGAAGGGCTAGTGAAGGGCTAATGCTTGAAACATCAGCTTTGAAACTCTTTACGGTGACCAATTTACATTACCAACTCATTTGATGAAACCAAATTACCTGGTGACTAATATCATTGTTTTTCTTTTTCATTTTTCCATCTTTCAGACAGATTTTAGGTTTTACTGGCTGCAGACAAAGCTTCAGGAAGAGCCATTAGTGGCACAAGTGTCAGGTGACAACCCAGTAAGAGAATTGGAATTTATTGGTCCACTCATTCAGGGAAAGTAGGAACGGTGCTTTGAACTTAATTCCAGACCTGATTTTACATGAGGGTTGAGTTTAACACTGGAGTTTGACCTTGGTCTAGGCTTTCATGTGTGGATTACTGGATTTTCTCTCTCCACAAAAACCAACTTCCAATTTCCATTTCAAGCCAGAATTAGAGTATGAAGCCCCATTTTGAGGATCCCATGCCTTTGCTAAATTACATTTATATATTTTTCATTTATTTATTCATATTTGTTCTGGTGGAAAAAGCACTGTAAAACAAATAAAAAAACAAGGTGAAATTTTGAAAACTGGTAGAAACAAAGTCAAGAGGGAAATCCTGAGTTTGATGCGTGAGAGCTCAATCCACGGAACACACACTTTAATTAATATGTCTCCGCTCATCATTTATCAGTACAGGTTTGTCAGTTTGCATCATCATCCTTGTCATGCCAGTTCCATTAATGAAGCTTTGAGCAGTGTCACATCAGTCAATGAGGTAAAAGAAAAAATAATGTTTGATCAGGAGTAGTGTCTTGGAAATATTTCTGCCACGATTATTTTTCAAGCAAATTGGCAAAAAGGGAAACACAGAAGATCATTTAACTCACAGATTTGTTGCTCCAAGGTAGTCAAGTGTTAGAGCATCATTCACGGCATGAATTTGATTTGAAAAAAAAACATCTGCAATCTTCTCGTCGGCAGTAGAGTGCTACACTTGATCCTATAAAAATGATGGACAAATAACTTCTCTTTACGATACTACAATAGATATCCGAGGGAACAGGTAAGGAGAGTAGACAGACTTATCAGCTCAAAGTTTCGTTTCTTGACATATGTGTCAAATTATGGAAACTGATTTACAAGGAAGGATGGAGAATTTATAAGTAAAAAATTACTCACAAGTCCATGGAGGTTGAGTGGTTGATGGTTTATGTAGCATTGTCTTAAATGACATCCTCTTCATTAGCTTAAAGCTGAACAGTTTTGACGAAGGAACGGGCAAAGAGGGGTATCTCTCATTATCCATTCTCATGCTTTATCGGTTTGACATTGAAAGCTTTTAAATTGATTTTAGGTCGATGGTTTGTTGTTCTTTCACAAGAGGACGCATTACACTTGCGGGAGAACACCGCTGGTTGGCTGGTTAAAACCGTACATGCTTCCTGAAATATTGGGGCTCCCTGTGCCAGATACATTCATGGCAGGGGTTCCTGCGGTAAACAAACTCACTTTACTGAAGTCGAACAAGGAGTTACGAGACAGCGACGAGGAAAAGAGGTTGGCGAGAGAGAACTGTGTGTTTGAGGAGAAAATGGACACTCAGTCGTCCCTGAAAACAAAGAGAAAACAGGGACGAAAATATGCTTCTGAAACTGGTGCAGGAATGGAGGTGGAGGGAGAATCAAAAGAAAATATACAACACGGGGACAAGAATGAAAAGATGGAAGTTTCGAAAAGAACTTCTAGTCGAAGAAGGCGTAAGGAAGGCGACGATGATATGGATGTGAGTCAGACTGACGAAACAATATCTTGAAGTCGTTAAGACCTCTTAATTGCAGGCATAACTATTAATGAAGTAGGCTTACTCGGCGATCCTTTTGAGTGCAAATCATATCGTTTCTAAACAAACGGACGAGACCAGGAACCGGTTCCTCAGTGGCTGAAACAAATCTAGTGAAGCCTGAGCCTCCCCAGTCCTCCCATAGTTATACTTCATGTTTTAGTATGGATCGTTTAACGTGGCCATTTTGTTGCTTCGTCTTTTTCCAAACAGGAACTATTTCTTATTTAATTCAATTTATTTTTTTGTGCAAATACAAATATGCCCTACATGTACGTCGGGCTTTGCTTGTCCCGCGAACACAATGACGGAAAAGTACTGCTGCAATTTTCTCTCCTATAACGAAGAAGTCATTTCAGCTCGATAAGCAACAACCGTCTGCTTGTCTGAGCAGACTGATTTACTTGTCGAAGTGAAAATATAATAACTGATACAGTGAGCATTGTTGAATGTATTTCGTCTATCATGGGCAGGGGGTAATAAATCAGACCGTTGAACTTCTTAGCTATGTTTCAGCAATGGCTGAACTTCTTGGTTGTGCATCAGGAATGGTTGAAACAGCCATCCATCCTTTTTCTCCTTCGTGGCTCTCAACTCTCTTTAAAGGGGCTTTCCAAGAAGCCAAATTTTTCGCACACTCTTCTGCCTTTTTCACTTCTTCCTCGGCTTCCTTCTCTCTTC